GGAGTAGGAGGCACTGCTTGGCAGTGGTTCTTCTCCTACCTTGACGGCCAATTCCAGAAGGTAGTGCTGGAGGACTTTGGCTCTGTGTCATGGCAGTTATGCCATGGAGTTCTGCAGGGTTCCATTTTGTCCCCCGTGCTATTTAATATCTACATGAAACCGCTGGGAGAGGTCATCAGGAGGTTTGGGGTGCGGAATCATCAGTATGCTGATGACACCCAGCTGTACCTCTCTTTTTTCAACCGATCCAGGTGAGGCAGTGGCTGTACTGAACCGGTTCCTGGCCAAGGTAATGGGCTGGATGAGGGCCAATAAACTGAAACTTAATCCAGAAAAGACGAAAGTCCTGTTGGTGGGTGGATCGAGCTTCTGGGTAGATGACTTGGACCTTGCCCTGGGGTTGCACTCCCTTTAAAGGACAGGGTCCGCAGCATGGGAGTGCTCCTCGACCCGGAGTTGTCTTTGGAAGCTCAAGTGGCTGCGGTGGCGAGGAGTGCTTTCCTTCAGCTTCGGCTAATCTATCAGTTGCGTCCCTACCTGGAGGAAGACTGCCTAGCGACAGTGACACATGCATTAGTTACTTCCTGTTCGGATTTCTGTAACGTGCTCTACATGAGGCTGAAGACAGTCCGGATACTTCAGATGGTGCAAAATAGAGCAGCCAGGTTGCTGACAGGGACTGGGCATTATTCTCATATAACCCCAGTCCTCTATCAGCTTCACTGGCTTCCTATTGAATTCCAGGCTCAATTCAAGGTGCTGGTTATTACCTATAAAGCCCTTATCAGCTTGGGACGTGGATACCTGAAGGAACACCTTCTTCCATATTTGCCCTCCCGCCCCTTGAGATCGGCAGCAGAGGCCCTCCTCCGGGAATCCTCCGTGAAAGATATTAGGAGGCAAAGTACCCAAAGGAGGGCTTTCTCTGCGGTGGCGCCCCATCTATGGAATGCGCTCCCCAGAGAGGTCTGCCTGGCGCCATCGTTATTTGTTTTTCGGTGCCTGGCCAAGACCTTTTTATTCCAGCAATATTTTAATAAGTTTTAATATTGTCTTTTCTATGTTTTTAACTGCAGCCATTGTGGGTTGGGAATTTATTTATGTTATATTTTATGTTGTAAGCCATCCTGAGGCTTTTTGCGACAGGACGGCATATAAATATTTTAAATAAATAAATATGTGACAAGCAACAACAAGGAAAGGCTAAAATGAGTAGGATACTAGCTTAGAAGAGTGATGAGAAATGATTAAACGCTGTGCAATCACAAGTAGAAGTAGAAAATGCAATTGGTTCATTTGTTTACCTTTTTATATAACCTTTGAATTAGGGGAAAGATGGCCAAAACTTATTTGGCTGTGGTGTGTTCAACCTTCCTTCAAGCTAAACCATTCACAGGCTGTTCCTGGGTGATAATGATTTAGTAACCTAACCTAGATTCTATAGCTTGGGAGAAGGTAGCAGTAGAGCCCTAGTGCAAAACTGGGAGGCATTTTATAGGATATAAGAGTACCTGCTGTCACAGAAGTGTATCAATGCCAACAGTTTGTGCAAGGTGCAACTTGGAAGCTGTCTGCCTCAGCCCTGCTTGTACTCACTGTAGAGCTACTTGTGTTTTTTGGTTGTTTTATGTGGTGGAACATTCAAACAGAGAAATCCACCCATGTATTCTGAATGTGCAGATTGTCTCTCCCTGAGCTGCTCGGAGGAAGCTATTAGGAGGGGTGTAAGCAGATGGTAGTCAGAAGGCAGGCAAAATCATAGAAACAACCTGAAATTGCATCCACATGAAAGCTCCTCTACAAATGAGCCATTTGACTGTGCAGTTGCCACATAACCACCATAAAATGACAACAGGACTATAGGGTGATAGTGCAGAAATAGCTCATGTTGATAGCAGCCAGTTAACATAACCAGTTACTTAACTTCAGAATAATTTTAGATTGCAGACATAATACAGGGAAGTATGAGAGAACTGGAAGGCATCAAAAGTTAGACCTCTTTCTGTCTCCTCCCCCATAAAAAGATGGTGAAAGAATAGTTCTATTTAATAGTCTCAAGATGGTGAGAGTATAGTTTTATTTTAATTACAGGGGTTCTTCAGCACTGTGAGACTCTCTCTCCCTCTCTTCTGGTAGATTGTTTGTGGAACTCCCCCCACATTTATTCCATTTTTATATCGCAAAATAGTTAACTGTTCAATTTCAAATGATCTCTCTTCCACTGCTATCTTATACTAACCAAATTCACAGGTGATACATTTTAATCTAAAAGAAATCCTTACTAGCACTTAAGAACACAACTTTAGATTAGAGTTTAAGGTTCCATTTGTTGTCCTCTAAACTTGCAATGGCTTCTTCCAGCTCAGAGCAGAAGCACAGCACAGGACAACTGAAAGATGAAGCCCTTCCTTGATTTTTCCCCCAGGGTTGTCAGTGGGTGGGGAATATATTTAGAAGCTGTTCTTGAGGGACCTGGATTGTGTCTTCCTGGTGCAGGAAAGGTCTTGACCGTATCTTTCCTTCAAGCCAACAAGTCTCAATTCTGTCATCTTTGCAGCTTTGTTTTATTAAACCAAAATAGACAAAAGAACAAGAACTCACAAGTCTGGGTAGGGGCTTGAATCTCCTTACAATTAATGAGTTCTGAGGGGACGGTTTACTGCTCCAAACAACAAAACATCTGTCGAATTCTGGTCCTTAAAGAAGCCAGAAAGAATTGGAAAGCGTCTCTGACCAAGATTTTAAAAGTATGTCTTGCTTAGGATTTGCTCATTTGCTCCCAACAATAAACAGTTCTCACCAGAATCCAAACCCAGCTTTTTAAAATGTTCAGCTTCTTGCATTCTCAGCAAAACTTGATGACTGGTGGTTGCTCTTTGTTGGTGTTGAGCTGGATCTTATGTTGCCTCCCAGTTTTGCTCACCTTAACACCTTTCATCAGAAAGAGCTTGATCTTAACAAACACACTTGAAAACAGCGTACATGTGAAAATTGTTTTAAATCCTCCTTATTTTAAACAAACAAATGAACCACTCAGCAAAATGGTAGTGGATATTTGAAAATAGCCTTAGCATGTTGTGCTTCATGCTGCGAAACATTACTAAGTTCAATTCAAATGCTTTTGTTGAATTATTTTGGCAGATAAAGGAGATTTGTGTTTGACTCAGCTGAGATTAATCAGCAAAACTAGCAGATGGAGAATCTGTTTGTGTAAATTATCTTCTCGCATTACCCTCAATAAACTTCATTCCACTGCCCCCCATCCCTTTGGTGAAATCTGAATGCATTTTTAATCCAATAAAATGAAACCTATGTTGTTGGGTTTTTTTACATTCTAATGAAAGTATGCATCGTATGTGTAGATATATTTAAAAGCCAGAGACCCATAAATCTTGACAAAAGGGTATCAGGTAGCTTTACAACAGAGTGCAACTGGGGTCTGATTCTGACACAGGTAGGTGAAAGGCAAATGGGCATCAGAAATCAGGCTCCCAATCAAGCAAGCATTGGCATCATATGGAAGCTCTGTCAAAAAAGAGTGAATGTGAGAATGGCATATCTAGAAAAAAGTGCTAGTACCAAAGCATTGCCAGTAATCACATCTGTCTGCATCTACCACAGTGGTTTTGTACAGCTGTTGTTAATATTAGTTAATCCTTGTTATGGCCTGAATGTGCATGAAAGGAAGTCCAGCATATTCCATGAGTGTGACAATTAATGGAGGGTGAAATATTCAGTGTTATAGCTGGTGGGTAGATGCCTCTCTGCTCCTTACATCATAACAAGTATGGAACATTTATTCATAGGAATGAATGATAAGCATTAATTTATCTAGGGACAAAGTAAGCAAGTGTATTGAGGAACACAACTGGATCAGGGATTAATGCTGTTTCCTTGTCTCTAGTGGTACCTAACGTTGAGAGTGCTTTCTGTACCTTTTGTGCAGCTGTCCTGCCTCCTTCACAGAATTTACAGGGGGAACAATGATGTGTTGCACTTGTAATTAGTAATGGTAACAGTAATAATAATACATTTCCATACCACCCATAGCTGAACTTCTCTACGGGTTGTCACCCATCTGGATTTCAGCAGGCTCGACCCTGCTTAGCTTTCAAGATTGGGTAGGATCTTCAGGATCTGTATAGCTTCAGGCTATAACAGAAGCTTCCAATGTTTTCCCACTTCTTCTTCCTTGTCTCTTTTCTCCATAAAATATCCATTAAGAAGGAAAAACCAGAATATCAGCACAAGACCTTATGATTTGTAATACTAGGAACCCTCTGCTGCAAAGCACCCTAAGAGTTACTCTTGCTTCTAGCAATGTAATTCCATTCTGAATCTGTTTCTTGACTATGCTAAAATTTTGGGTCAGTGTAACATATTGGGAACTGGCTTATATGATGTGAGATATTTTGATATAATGTATGTATATACTCTGATGTTCTTGTGTTATATATAACTGTAGTGCACAGTGTAGCAGTTAAGACTGTTGTCTGCTATGCACATTAGTGACCATATTTCACTGGTCTCAAACAAACTATACTAGCTTCCATTTTCTTTCTTAGCCCAATTGAAGTCATTTGGGGTGAGGATTTTTGTAAGAGCGTGTCTTCTTATATGAGTATGTTCATAATTTATCATCATCATCAGAGGCTATATTAGGTTGGTAGGCACATGAAGCAGGGCCTTTTCAGTAGCAGAATCCCAGCTATGGAATTCTTTCCAGAGGACAGTCAGGTTGTTTCCAGTTCTGCTGAGCTTTATACAGTCTTTCTTACTTTTAGACAAGCAATAAAACACATTCTGCCTTTACTGGGCCTTTGATATAGTTGACTATTATTTGGGCTTGTATTAAAGCATTTCTCCTATTACTATGTCATGATTTTATTACTGCTGATGGATAGGAAGTGATTTAGGAGGAGGAGGAGGAAGAGTTGATGATGATGATGCTTATGGAGCACCCAGACTTTTCTCATTCTTGCTTTTGGTTTAAAAAACAGATGTTGATGAATGTGCAGAGGGGAATGGTGGCTGCCAGCAGACCTGTGTCAACATGATGGGGAGCTATGAGTGCCACTGTCGTGATGGGTTTTTCCTGAGTGATAACCAGCACACCTGTATTCAGCGCCCAGAAGGTTGGTCTTTAATGCTTACATTTCCTGTCCTGTATGTCAGTCTTTGTCAGACTGCAAAGTTGAAGAAAGAGAGCTAAGTAAACTTCTGTATGGTTGATACAGGATTCAGATTTGATTGAGCTTTATTATATAGGTGGATATATTAGGGAACCACTACTCTCAACATTGACAGTCTGTGCTGGCCACTTTCCAAACCCCTTTCAAACAGTGATGAACTGAAAGCACCATTCTGGAAATCGGCAGCAAACACATTCAGAAAGGAGATACTAACTTGCATATATGGAGTAAAGTGGAGTGATTTTGCTAGCTGGTCCACAGAAACAGCTCAATATAGAGAAAGGCTAGTTCTCTTATTAAATTGTGGGGTTTTACATACTGATTCAGAGCACCATCACCCAGAGCCCTTTATTTGGAAGTGCCCCAAGTTGACATCTGTTTATAGTCCTAGTTAAAAAGTCCAGCTCTCTGCACTTAATGTCCCAGATGTTGTCTATTCTTTCTTGGCTTCTGATGTACTTATAAGTACAAATGCATGTACAGCCTAATTTACAGCCTAATGTTAATAATCTGTTAATTACTGCTAAAGCATGTAAAACTTTTTATGCAACATGCCATCTCTTTGTCTGGGGCTTGGGGTGTCAGAAATCGATCTCATTTATATGTATTAAATTGGAGTGTTGTTGACAGAAAGGCAGGATATGCATGTTTTAACTTAATTAATAAAATGTGTACCCATCACATAATTCAACCTACATTTACCATGCATTTACCCACCCACAATGGACTATGCTATGATGGTGGTACTGTGGTGAATATGGATTAAACTGCAATCTAGGGATAGGAAAAGTAATTGTATAGTTGATTCAGCAGTAGCTGGAGTAGCAGTGCAGCATCAGTAGTTGCATAGATTTGTTCCATTCATGTTATCAATATGGCAACTGACCATGACTGCGGTCTCCCAAAGTTTTTCAGGGAGCTTTGAATTCAGTGTTCAACATGTCAGCTGATCTGGCCAATTTGAAAAATTATAGAATCTGTTAGTTGTATTTAGTACTTGGGAATTTTAAAGCACTTTCAACATGTTCAAAGCACTTTACAGGTGTCATCTTGAAATTCTCACAATAACCCTGTGAACATGCTCATATAACACTTGAATTAAAAGAACTGCATTGTCTTTCTATTTGCTGCTGGAGCATATTCAGGGTTATGCTATTGCCATGCAGATGCCTGAACAACTTGAGACCAGGTTACCTAGCAGATTGTTTTCTTTTGTATATATCCAACTGATCTTTAAGCCCATGAGAAGAAGCTCTGATGGTCATTCTAAAACCAAAAAATGTTGCCATATAAACATCCTGATGGCAGACCTTCTTATTAGTGGCATTCACCCTCTTGAAAGCCAATGCCCATGCAGCTGGAGAGGCAGAAACTTTGTAATTTTTAATTAATTGAATTATTGTAATTAATTGAAACAGACTGTGATGTTCCATCTTATTGCCCTTGTATTGATCTGTATCATCAGTGTAATTGGAATTCCTTTTAATGATGCATTTTAAATGCAGCTTATACCTCACCAATGGTAGGGACCACCAGGAGTTGAATGGCACAAAAAGAGATCTCTGCATATGCTCAGGAATATACTTGTGAAATCCTACCTAGGCCATGCATGTATTCAAATGTGGTAAGAGGATGGAAGTCACTCTGTATGTCTCAAGATCACACTTGATGCAGACCTGAATATGGAAATTAGAAACATCAGGGAAAGATTCAAATAAGCTTGGATTTCTAGGAATGTGTTACATGGAGTCCACAGAGGATTAGCTTTTTTAAAAATCAAATGGATTTTGCAGATTTTTGAATAGGTTTTTCACTTCTGGGTGGGATGTGCATTGTGAAGATACAGAAATGGTACAATGCATTTATCTGCATTAATTAATTCATGTGAATTAGCATTAAATAGAAAGTACAGATAGAAAAGGTAGAACAAAAATGCAAGTAGAACAAAATTCAGGTAAAAAAATTCAGATCCATCACTGAGTGGATGACCAAATGAAAGATGCCTGACAATCTGTGAAATACAGAGGGAACAGATTTAACATCATTCCTTCATCACATCTTCCTCACCCTTTTCTCTTTCTCCCTTGTTTTCCTGTCTGGTGCATCCAGTCACTCAGTGCTGCCATGGAACCAGCTGTTGGGGTAGAGGCAGCAGCTGGCTGCTACACCAGCTCATGTGCACCTGAGAGGCAGCCAATGGGACCACCCACTTAACCTCTGCCAGTAGCTCACCTTGTTTGGATGCTTGAGCAGCTGCAGTATCTATTGTGCCAGGAAAGAGATGGCAACTCTGACAGCCAGCAGTTGCAGGTCCAAGACAAGCACTGACAAGCAGGTCTTTTGCCCACTCAGCCACCTCTGGGAAAGAGATGCACGGCAATGTGTGTTACACAGGGGTCTTGGGAGAAAGAGGCCCAACTCTGCTGATGCCTCAGGCCACTGCCCAGTCCTAGCAGCAAGCCTGGCTATGTAAGAGCAAAACAAACAGGACACAAGACTAGCTTTCTCAGGAGCAGGCACATCTGTATTTGATGTTGATTCTCAGATGCACAAGCTGCTTACAGTGTTGCTGAAGGCTATGATATCATTTAAAGAAGCATTAGCAAAACCAAACAAACTTTTTTTTAAATTTAAGTATCAAACTGATGGGTCCCTTTTGAAAGTATCTGAAACACTAATGCCAATTACAGATGGTTAATTCAGTTTACCAAAACAAAAAATAGCAGGATTCACCTTTTCTTTCATTTCTTGTGCTTTGGTTTTTGTTTCTGTTGCTCGAAATAACCACTAAGAAAAATTGAAATGACTAGAAATAATGAGTTGCTTTCAGTACTAAATTTGCTGTCTGCAGCTGGTGCAGCATCCTGTTTGGTTTGCTTTCTTCCTTTCTGCAATTCATATTTTTCTCTCTGTCTCTGGCTGTAATTATCACAAAATTTTGTTCTCTTGTGTTCCCATGTGATACCCGGATATGCCCATGGTTCCTTGTCCATTCAGAATAATTTGAATTGACTGCTCAAAGATCTATGATCTGCTGCATTTCATTCTCAGAACTGACTTTTAGTACCTGATTTTTAGAGTGTTCCTTTTCATTACCTTGATTTCCTTGCTATCCATTGACAAACCCCTTCTGTTTTGCACCAGCACATGGCTGTCAGAGTGTCTTACTTCATATGACAAGATGATTTCATGTATATGCATTTGCTAATACAGCCTAGTCTTAATTATATTTGTGTGTCCTTTTGTGCATTGTTAACTTCTGGGTACTACTCTGCAGTGGTCAATAAGAAGTAAACAATGTTCTTCAACAGTGGTGGAAATCCATTGAAAAGGAGAGGAATTCCATTCAAAAGAGATGTCACCATATGGAGACCATATGCCACCATATGGAGTGGTAAGAGAAATTGTTCCTGTGAAAAAAGAACTAGCTGGAAGAATGACTATCTTTCTTTTGGGATAAAAAGAGGTGATGCAATTGCAGGTTGGAGGTTTATTGACTAAGCTTCACAGTGATCATTGATTTTAACAAACTTGAACTTTTTCATATATTAGGCTATTATGATGTACCTGTGCATAATGTTAAAGACATATTATTTGGTGATATATATACTGATGGGGAGCTTTATCTGTGGCTTTCTGTGACCTATCCCCGTATTGGAAGAGTAATAACTTGTGTTGCCATTATGTGAGTGACTCTTAAGCTACAGTATTAAGTGTTCTTACAAGGAACAAGTCTTTCCTCACTGAGCAGCTCTAAGGCTTCTTTGCCCCTTTGAGGTTCTGCTCTGAGCAGGCCATGTTTTTGTTTTTGTTTTTGCTTCATGATCCAAAGCCTGTTCCACTCTTCAGTGTTCCACTTAATCATCTGGTTCAGTACCCTGTAGTTTTGCACATATTACTGACTCTAATCTTTTTTCAGCTTCAAACTAGGTAAGTTATTTGGGTTTTTGAAGTACCTTGCTTAGTTTTCATGCTACATTCTACTGAGTTCACTTGTGTAAAATCTCTAGCAGATGTCTGTATGTCAAACTAAAATTAATCACTCTCTGCTTAGTTTGCCACATTGACTGGATTCTTGTGGCCTACTAACCAATCATGCTTTAGCAAGTCATGCAAATCCACAATGGCTTTGTCAGGGTGACTTAAGTTTGGGTTATAAGCCACCCTGAGAAACCCTGCCTTGTTGATTGGGTTCTTATGTTGTCTAAACCTGGAAAACTCAACCCATCATGGATCTAGCCCAATAACTAGCAAGTATCTTGATACAAGGGACATGACATCTTGCCAAGCGACTTGTAGGTAAATGCCTGTGCCAAGCAACCCTGGCTTTCCCCATGCTGAAAACAATTTTTGACTTGCTGCATCTTCAAACGATACTTGAAAGTGTGTGTGTGTGTTTCAGACCATGGAACATAACTCCCAAGTCAATTTTCATATTCCCTATTGGCTCACCTTCAAGAGGTCCCTCCAAGGTCACCAGCAGTATTTTAGAGAACCTATCCATAAAGAATAAAATAAAACTGTCATTGCTGTCTGTGTGCAGCTGTGGGTGTTTGCAGTTACACAGAGGTGACAATGAGTAATAGGTGGGGGGGTGCCTGCTGGCAAAGTCAGTCATGCATCCATCCTGTACAGTATCCTGCCCCAAGGATCTCCCCTCACCTTTCCTCTTGAAACTGAGCTGCCAAGTACTTCGATAGCATGAGGAGGTCATTGTGAGCAGAAAGGGAGAATCAATCCCCATATTGCTACAACATTCCAGGGAATTTTGGAGCGGGGAAACTAGTGTCTATCCATCCCCCAAATGTCCATTTTGCCAGTATTCCCAAAGAGGTAACACCTTCAGAACATGCAAAATGAGAGTTTCCCAGGTTTGGTGGGTGGTTAATTGCTATTAACCTTCTTATGAAATTTCCATGCTGTTGTGTTATTTCCCATCTGTG